CCTTTTATATGTAATATATGATGGATATATCATTAAACAAATTGAACGTACGTGTAGGTACATTTATATGAACATAATTATAATTACAACAAATAAATATTTGAATTTTATTACTGAATCGCATACTATGTTTATTGAGCTGAATCAACAAAATCATTTTCCRCCAACCATTCTTTCAAATATGATCTAATCGTAGTACGAGCTTGTGTTAACTCCGGAAGATCCGAAGATGCCGGAGGATACATATTTGCGCAATGAGCTGTCCCTATTATAAGAAATAGAAACGTAAAATGTTCGTACACCACATAATTTTTGGTTTTATTAAATAGTTGTATTTATAATTAGATACTACTAGTAATTAGTAAATGAACTAAAAATATGATCTTAATTTAATTTTGAGTAATAACATTAATTATTAATAGTTACCGTTTATCAAAATTGCCACGTTATTTTTTGTCCTTGCTTGCGTAATACCTAATGCATGCCATGGATCAACAGAACCGTGTATGAATATTACCCGGCTATCTCTTATGTCCAATTCACCAAACATTGTATTAGTTCGATCAACTGCAGCTGACAATAGCTCCGAATTATATCTAGGTAAACGGAAAATTATCATAAGTACAAGTTTTTCAAATTGTCAGGTTATAGCTTAGAAATATATGTTTATCTTTTGATATTCTACATATTTAATTTATAATAAACAGAATGTAATAGATAGGTATGCAACAGATATTAATGATTGTGATTAAATTGGCGTTTACTGATATACCCACATACTCAGAACCCCTACGATGGGGGGTCAGAAAAGGCCCGATGTTCATGCAAATAACTTACTTTAATGTATATATTAGAAAAATGTAGCAAAATTAATTGTTATTTAAGAGAGGTCAGGCTTCAGTTCTATACCTGAATGGCTGCATATATACAGGCCCTAAAATATGATGTTGGGGCCTAGATGTACCTATTCCAGTATTTCATTATAAAGTCACTAGATTAAGCAATTTTAAAATAAAAGTGACATAATTTTATAGATGCACCTATTGTGTTAATATCTGATATTTTTATCTTTTTCAAGAAGTGTTAACATTACTAAAAATAAAGCGGGTAAGTAGATGTCACTTTTCTGTAAAGTAGTTTAAGAACGAGTTACTTTAATGGATGGTATTAAATTTTAATTGAATGATATAATATCAATGTATATTGTATACGAAGAACAATTCTGAGAAGAGATGGTTTGTCAGTCTGGGATATTTTAGAGTTTTATGCTATATTAATTATATAATATAATATTGCTATTATTTCAAAAAATATTTTGGTACCTATACCTATAMAATAAATTCCAAATTAATCAAATCAGATTCATTATGCACACAGCACACAGAAAATAACTAGGTATAAAAAAGCTGTGTTTTTACAGTTTTTAGATTTTTTTTTGCCACAGAACTAACTACTTACATGAAACCTTGTTTTAAATTTTCAATCCTTAACTATAAAAGTTAAACGTTTAATACATTTTCAACAACTGAGGAATTCGTAAATTTTCAAATAAATAAATTTGATCAAAATTTGAACTTTAAACGGTTATGAAAAAATACTTGCATATTTATTTTTAATAGTTTCCAACWACTATTATATCAAATTATGGGGAACATTATATTAATTTTTCAAATTTTTTGACCCAATGAAATAAAATTTTATCGACATTTATAGAATAAAAAACTAAAAAAAAACGGAAAATTTCAAATGTTTATAAATAACTTAAAATTGTTGAAATATTTTGAAAATTTTATCAAGTATGGGAATT